GATCGGAACCTATGTAACTCTCCCCGTTTCACGCCTCTCTTTCTCTTTCTCTTCCGCGCTACGAGCGGAAGAAGGTCACTGGGTATTTCTGGATAGAACAATTTTCCTGGTCTTGCTCAAAGGACGGCGACAGCAGGAAGGCAGGCTTAATTCGACGACGGAATTAGATTCCACTGAGATCGTTTCGAACGGTGGTGCACAGTGTGTCGCGCGAGAAACTACCCAAAAGTGGTGCATTTTGTGCTCTGTTTTTTTATTCGGTTCTTAGGATAATTTGGAAGATAATCGCCTCGCGATATTTCACAAGTATGATCAAGTTTGGCGAGTCGATTTAAACGTTTATCGGATTTTATCAAATTCTAAGATATGGGCATTGATACTTCTTAAATGGCTCTGTTGATTCATAAGAAAGCTGATCTCAACAGTCTTTAGATAGGCAATCGCCTCGCGATATTTCACAAATGTGATCGAGTGCATCGAATTTACAAAATTCCAAGATATAGGCATCGATACTTCTTAACTCTTTGAGGCATAGTGGGGTAAAAAGTGTCCCAACTTTTTAGTACTTAGATATGCACAGTATGATGCTTTTCATCCCACCTTGAAACATTAAGAAAACAAAGCCTGTTTTCACAAATTTCATGCTGAGATTATTTATGTCCCACCTAATAACTGATTATCTCAACATTTTTTTTAAAGCTTTAGTTGTTCTATATCGTAATTCATACCTACTTTGTTACATTTTTTTACCATAAAATTCCTGTGCAACTAGAGTCTGTTTTTGTCTTAAAATTCTGTGCCTCAAAGAGTTAAATGGCTCTGTTAATTCATAAGAAAGCTGGTCTCAACATGAAAATGCAGGAAAGGAAAAATTTATGGACGTAAGGACGTCTACGTTTGTATAGATCTATATATCACTTCTACGAATGATATCATATCCCATATTCTATATATCATAGAAAAGAATGAGAATTGAAAAACACTGCAGAATAGTAGGACAACAATTTTCCAGTTTCCCCCCTTAAAGGGTTGAACATAAAACAGGCGAATCTCCATCAAAACGAACCTGTCGCCTCTCATCCACGCTCACCTATCTCTCCCCACCGTCCTCGTTGCACATGTTTGCGCAATTATTTTTCCACGCGACGTCTCAGCCATCGCGCGTCCTTTAAAAGTTTCGCGAGAATTATTAATGGTATCCGCGGATTTGGACGTGTTCCCCTCCCCGTATAAACATCCGCGATCCGACGATTACGAAAGTATGCGGGGGGAGAACCGCAGATGGTATGCCGTGGAAGCAGCGGCAGAGTAGAGTCTCTATTCTTGGATTGCTCCGGATTCGTGGCGAACAAACCAGAAAGAGAGAAGGAGATCCTCGCGTCCTTCTCGAGGTCCAGTCTCTCCGATTCGCGAGCACACGGTTGGGAAAACACGGGACGAACCGTGGAACCCTGCTATGTCCGTTCGCGTTTAATTCCCGCGGACGCACGGGTGTCCTGTTCCCGTTGCCGCGTCGAAAATTAACGGAAGACACGGCCGTATGGAACTCAGGAAGCGGTGTGCAGTCTCGCGTTGTTGGCTGCCAAGCCAAATCCTCCTATTATTAGCCATTCCGCGCGTTCGCGTATTTATGCCGCGGCTACGGAACCAGCATCTCGAAAATGAAACCCGAAACTGCTCAAGGATACCGTCCTCCACAGACGTCGTCCCGTTTCCTTCGAAACTTGAAGAGATCCAACCCGATCGATCGATCGATTCTCTCCGTTTAGTATAGCACTCGAGGCGGTAGTTAACCAGTTGCACAGAGATTCTAAATAGCCATCGTTCACGTAATATCCTCTCTTCTTGTTTCGCTCGGCTAAATTTGTCGCGTGCACGAGTCCTCTCTAATCGGTTGTGGAACGTTCGAGGGAAGAATTGATGGTCGTCGGAAACGGCCGGTAATCGATTCGAAAGAATAAGTATAAATTACAAAACGGGGTTGAATTAGCGGTGTCTGATGTTCTTGAACGTAACCTTAATGCTCGTGTGTCTTAAATGTCCCACCTTAATGGCTACCAGTTATGATTCCGTTAGGACGTCGTTTTTTCCCCAGTGGATCAGCCGGTGAATAGCACGCGGGACTATATATTCGCCTAAAGTGGTCGTTAAGGAATACCTAACTGTCTCATCCGCGTCGATATATCGTTCTCGTTGCATTTCGTCGTTCCCCGGCGATCGTTGCTCTTCGACCAACTCGGTATTCATAATCACCGTCGTGGGGAACAATAAAAAGCGAAAGGAAAGAGAAAGAAGGCTTGTAATTTGGACAAAAAGACAAAAAAAAAACGAAAAAAGAGAGAGAAAAAAAAACAATTCTACTGCATTTCCCTCGGGCGAAAAAGCAAACTGCTGTCAAGGAAGGAGCTGACAAATTCCAGCGTATCACGGGCGAACGAACGGGTGCACGATTTATAAACAGAGAAAGAGAACGATTCTGGCATAAACCGAGCCGCGCCACGGTAAAATTAGAAAGTGGCCGCCGGTTGAAGCGCAGTGCGCATGCGCCAGTGCTGCGGCGTCCCCCGGCGTGCGCATGCGCGCTCGCCACTTTTTCCACGCCAGACGAGCGGCGCAGAGCGTGATATTTAAAATCGCGCTGGCTGAAAACCTTTTCTGGGCCTGTTCGTCCGTGCCCGTAGAAACTTTTTTTCACGCTGTTTGTCTGTTTAATTTAATCTTCCTCTCTTTGCTCTCTTCTCTACTTCACCCTTCTACTCGCTATCCTTTTCTCTACTTTTATATTCACAATGCTCGCTCGTTCCTCGTACCAGTGAAGTTTCTCGATCTTTTTCTACTCCCTTTTCTCGATCTCTTTCGCTCGCTCCCGCGCATAGGCACACATACGTACGTGTCTACACACATACACATTGTACGAAGGCTCCTCTTTCTCTCTCTCTCTCTCTCGTCCCTCTCTTTGGCCGGCGTTTCTCCGAGGTCGTTCTTCGGGTTCACGACCGGGACTATAGGAGCTGTGATCCCTTCTCTCTTTCTCCCGGATCGCGGCTACTCTCTCGTTTCAACCTCTCTCTATTTTTAGAATGACACACTACCGCGATTCAACGAGCTCCGAACAGAGCGTCGCAGCCGGGAAATCCTCTGCCCAAATGCGGATCGCGAACGAAAGCGACAGCGTCACTTTTCGTTTCGATCAACCTTCCCTCCCTCTCCTTCTTCGATTCCACTCTTCTGCTCGTCTCTCGTGGAATTTTCACCGGTAAAATCTTTTATCCTTTCGTGCATCTCGTCCTTTTCAGACCTCATTTTTCCTCGTCCTTTGTGGACCTCGATTTGTTTATCAATTAATTTTCAACAATTACAAAAGGACAAGTAATATTTAACGCACTTTCCATTACACACGTGACGACGCACGAGACGCTCTCAGTGAGGCAACTGCGACTCGCGCAACGCGAAAAGCGAAGGAAAAGGTTTTCGCTGAACCCATGCGCCATAGGCCGATTATCGACCACGCTCGTTAACCCCTTAACCTATGATTTCTTTTCCGACTATGCGTCTAAGCGTCAGCCATTTTCTGTTTCAGTACTACCGAGGCTAATCTATTACAGATTAATCACATCTAGCAATCCTCAGTGTTACAAATTCTTACTAATACAACCATTCTTCTCACATCTTCGCCAGAATCTCTGTAACGAGTCTGACAGGTTGCTATAAGTTAAGGGGTTAATCGACGGCGCACGTATTAAAGAAATTAAAACAAAAACCAAAAACGCCTAAACGACAAGCTAGCTCATATCCATTCGGCACAATTTTCCAGCGCACTCATTCTGTATGGTACACATATACTATTTTTACGTCTGACGGGGGGAATAGTTCCGAGGGGTGGATAATAGGTGAAATTCACAAGAGGTCGGACCACTCGAAAGAGGTGAAAAGTTAGACAGGAGGGACAGAATTTATGTCACACGGTCCGTGGAAACAATGGCTGGCGGGTTCGCGAGTTCCTCCGTGACGAGAGCACACTTCGGTTGCACCGGGGCAAAGAAGCTCCGAGCTTCTGGCAATTAAACCGCGACTTTACGACGACGACGAGAGAGCACGCGCCTCTGCGAAGGAGAGCCACCCGTCCATACGAAAGCGTAAGGTTCAGCCGTAGATTGCAGTATCATGTAGTATTTGCACAATCATTCTGGACGTGTAGTACGTGCCGGGTGAATGTACGCGAGGGTGTCTCGCGCTTTTGTCTCCGTTCCTGCGCGCCCACTCGCTCTGTCGCAACCGCATTATAATTGCGCCAATTTGCGTAGCCCGCGCTCGCTCTTGATCGAGTTTCCCTTCTGACATGTTTCCTCTTCGCTTCTCCACTGTTCCTTCCTTCG